GAGCTGAGGGGAAGAGTATTCCAGATGATTTGATTTGAGCAAGAGCGAGGATTTATTATTTTCCCTATTTCTTATACTTCTTATACTCTAACCTTTTTTCTCTACTTAATGAAAATTTTAATAAGAAAACAAAATAATTATATATGAAAATATATGTATATTTTAAAGAAAATTAACAATGTTGATTATGATGATGAAGTGAATACCCATACACTTAGCATTTGAGTTGTTTCCAATTTTTTTGCCATTACAAACAATGGTGCTATCAGTATTCTTGTACCTTTTTCCCTGTGCACACAGGGAAAAATCTTTCCAAGGTATGCCCAAAGGACAGGAGTTACTGTCTTTTAAGGTACATGGAAACTATTCAGTCTTTAAGCCAATGTCCTCTCCTTCCAGCAGTCTGTGTTTCCATTACTCCTCATCTTCAGAAACACTTGATATTTTCATTCTTTTAATTTTGACTACTCTGGTAGATGGGAAATGTTCTCTTTGTGGTTTTAGTTTGCATTTTTCTGATTACAAGTTATGTCTGAGAATCTTTTCATTTGTTTATTGGCCTTTATAGTTTCCTCTTCTGGGAAATGTCTATGCATGTCTTTTGCATCTCTCCCTTCTACTCTAACTTTAAACTGCTCTACTCTCTCCATCATATGCTATTTTCCAGTGAGTTGTTCATCCTTACTTTTGTATTACTATTATTGTAAAAGTTGTCAAAGTTTCAGAAATAATCAAAGACTACTGTAGTCAATTTCTGTATACTCTTGACCTAGGTTACACAATTGTTAACATTTTGTCATGTATTTTTTCATTCAAACATTTGAAAATAAGTTGCAGATGTCATTATATCTCCCCGAATACTTCAGCATATATCTCCTAAGAATAAAGATATTCCCCTATGTACTCAAAATGCCATTGTCACGCCTAAGAAAATAATTTAACTATATGGTGTAATAGTCCAGTGGATTTTTAAATTTCCTTAGTAGTCCTAAAAATGTTCTTATAGGTGTTATTTTTTTTATTTTAAGTAGAATCCAACAAAAGTTTGTGTATTGCCTTTAGTTGTTACTTTCCTTTAAGGTTTCTTTTAATCAGGAACAATTCTTCTCTTATTTTCTTGCCATTAACCTTTTGAGGAGTCCAGGCTAATTTTCATGTAGAGAACTTTCTTCTTGAAACGCATTCTTCACTTGTTTCCCTGCATGCCAATCTCTGTTACTTCCTCTCTCACTCTTTCTGTGTCCCCTTTGCTATCTTCAGCTTTCTAAACTCCCAGTGTTTTTCTCTCATTAAAAATTGGGAATGCCTCAAGGCCCAGTCCTTGGACATCTTTTTGATTCTTGGGTGATTACATTTCATCTCATGTCTCTAAAAATCATCTATATGCTAATGCCTCCCAAATTTCTGTCTCCAGTTTTTACCCCTTCTCTATATTCTAGATTCACATTACCAAATTTTCACTAAGCAGATCCCCCTAGGTGTCTAATAGATGCCTCCAATGAATAAGTCCTTTGGGAGATGTCTTGCTTCCTGGTCTTCCCCATTCAAACCAACCTGTTGCTTCCCACTTTTCTCTACTTAATTAATAGCATCTCTGTCTCTTTTAGTAGCTCTGGTTTGAAGCCTTTCCTTCATCTGTGACCCCTTTTTGTTCATATATATATATATGTACACACATATATATGAAAAAAATACCTGAACTCTGGTACCTCTTATCATCTGTCTCTTCTACTTTAAATGCTGTACTCTCCATTTTTTATTTTTTTATGAGACAGAGTCTTGTTCTGTTGCCCACTGCAACCTCAACTCCTGGGCTCAAGCAATCCTCCTGCCTCAGCCTCCTGAGTAGCTGGGACTACAGGTGCGTGCCACCACACCTGTCTAATTTTTTCTGTTTTTAGTAGAGATGGGTCTCATTCTTGCTCAGGCTGGTCTCGAAGTCCTGACCTCAAGCAATCCTCCCACCTGAGCCTCACAGTGTGCTAGGATTACAGGCTTAAGCTACCATCCCCTGCCTCTCTATCATATTTTATTCCAGAGTCCTCGTCACTGATCTCTCTATTTCTACCATTGCCTCCCTGTAGCCTTTTATCCACAGATCAGCTACAGTTATGTTTTCCACATGAAAATCAGAATAAAAGCCAAAGTTCTTACTACCTTTCTGGCTTTATTTCCTACCTCTGTCCCTTGAACAATCCACTCAGGCCTGTTGGCTGTTCCATTAACTTGCCTACAGAGCATGTTTTTGCCTTAGGCCCCTTTTCACATTCTATTCCCCTGCCTGGATGTTCTTTCCCAGATATCTGCGTGGCTTATTTCTTCACCTCTTTGAGATTTCTGCTCAATTATTTATATTGTGAGAGAGGCCTTCCCTCATTCCTCTGTCTGCTCACTTTTTCACTCTCTACCTTTACCTTAATTTTTTTTAATAGCATTTATTATCTTCCTTCCTTCACTAGACTAAGTTCCAAGAAGACAGGAACTTTGTTTTGATTACAGCTGTATTCCAGTTCCTATAATAGTGCTTGACAAATAGTTGAAATGTAAGAAATGTTTGTTGAGTGAATCTCTGCATTTATGAATTCCCAGTTT